GCTGAAAACTTTTCCCCTTCCTGTAAGTTGTTGAAAACTACCACTTCAAGCCTAATTTTGACAAATACTGCTTCATTTAGGGTGAGAAGATCTCTCATTCCTAGATAGTTCTGCATCATTTTACTCTGTAGCTTCTTAAGAACTTGCTCACTAGGATATTTTTCTTAATATGCGATCGTCATTAAGCAACCACAGGAAAGCTAGCACGGGTCATTGGTATTTACACCCAAGCTCTCAGAGGGACCCATCATGGGTGTACTAGTTTTATAGTGGGTTAGAGAATTAGCACAACTCCACAGTGACTTAAATCCAGTATAAAAGCTTTGATCATTCTGATGTTTGATGGCATTAAGGGTTGGATCATCTAAACTCAGGGCCAAGCATTTCATTGTTTGTGTCTGACTAAAAAAGACATTTTGCAAACCATCACAATAAATATTCATTTCTCAAAGGCAAAAAAAACTTATATATTTTGTTTTAATTATCAAAAAGCCAAAATTTCTTCAGGTACTCTTTGCATACCTTCACGGTAATCTGATTCTGTTTTAAACTACCATTACCACCCTCCCGAAGTCTCACCTGATTGGGTATAACTCTTTCAGTTCAAGTGTAACTACCGAGTTTGTCCAAACAATTAACACTTTCATGTAAGTGGAGTCACATTGTAGGGAGGATTTAAAAATCTTAAAAGACTAATCTGATATCTCAGATTGGGGGAATGCTAGGGCAGGACTCTCCAATGGGGTATGTCCCCACTTTACTTTTGAGAGATAACTGATTATTTAGTTTTGATATATTATTAGTAGCTACATGATGGTTAATGTACTTAGAAAAAACTATGAAAAATGTATTTGATAAAGTTGTTTATACAACCAGTAAGAACACTTGTTCAATTGAAACTTCAATTTGGGTATGCGCCCTAGTGGATCAGCTGTAAACTTGAAAGCTTATAAAGCCAAAAATCGGAGTTAAATACCTACGATGGGAATAGCACAGGTAGCCTATTGTGTAGCTTTACACTTAAACACAACAAACAAACTCCTATTATATTTATTATCAGTTTGTTTGCCTCAGAAATATGCAGAAAGATAAAACTGAATAGATGTGGATTATATATTTGTGTAGCATTCCATAAAAATTATGGAATGAACAAAAGCATTTCCTTTTTCTTAGTTTATGAAACTTATGGAAAACATTTTACCATTACATTATTTTGTTTTCAATATAACGATCTCATCAACACTAGAATATAAACAACTGAAACAGGAAGCATCTTCTCATAACATTGTATTTACAGAATCAACTCCATGTATACATGGATCTAATAAATGGAATTCAACCAAGAAATGTCTTATTTCCACGCATAAAACACCGGGGAAATTTACCGTATTTATGAGACGCACCCATATTTTGAAGACAAAGTTTTGGGGAAACTTTACTATACTAACTTTAATAACTCCATTACTATAATTTATTTTTTTATTATTTTAGGAGGCATTATAAGTAGTTATGTTTTTAAAAGAAGAAAAAAACTACTATTGTTATAAATAACACATTCAATTGAACTAAACTATGTATGCCTATTTAGATATATATCTTGTGTATATATATCATTCATACCTTCGGTGTATAAGACGCAAGCAGATTTTGACATTAAATTATGGGGTAAAAAAGTGCGTCATATACACCGAAAAATACGGCAATTCAAGTAATAAATATCTTTATCACTGTCTCTAAGTCCCGGAAACTTTAAATGAGCAGATACATTTTTATCAATAAAAACTGAGTAAGAAATATATTAATTCCGCAAATAAGTTGTTGTTGTTTTGGAAGTTAAGCACAAAGCTACACAATGGGCTAACTGTACTCTGCCTACCACGGATATCGAAACCCGGATTCTAGCGTTGTAAGTCCGCAGACATACCGCTGTGCTATTGGGGGACTCCGCAAATAAAGTGGCTTTTTAACCATATAAGATATTTCCACAATAGTGTTGTAGAGGGAAGTCACAGTCGAGTCAACAGTACCACAATTAAAGATAAAACAGTTGAAAGGAGGAGGGCATTTTTCTCTGTTATGTGTAACACCATTAAGAAAATTCTTTTTATTTATTATTAACAATTTCTTGTCGTTTTCGTACAGTATGTTTAAATATTCTTCTTCTCAGGTTTGTCAATTTAGGTATTCTCATTTTGAGGTTTGTCACAAGATGATAAATGCAATAACTTTGAAGTAGAAAGGTCTAACTTCCAAAAATGCTTGGGTTGTCAGCCTTTCTGTGATTTATCTAATTTTCTGTATTAGGTGATTTACTTGCACAGAGAATCTCTTTTTTTAGATGTATTTCTTTCGAGTATCAGAGATTTTCAAACCAGGTGGAATGTTTGCAAATATTAACAATGCACAATAAACACCCCAAACGAAAAAAAAATATTCTTCAAATATTTATATATATATACTCATATACAATTCAAAAACATTCCTATTTTTAGGGTTTAGTCTAGAAAACAAATTGAAAATTTATCAAGGCAATTAGACATCGTGTTTTATCTCGTTTACTAAAATAGTTACTCATTTTCTACTTTAGAAACACATTGCTAATATATTAACCACTAAAATGTCCAAGAACTTTCTATAAACTATAATATTTGGCTTAGATGTACATCATTAAACGAAATAAACTGCTTATATTCCACCATTATTTGATACCTACCCTATGTTTTTGTTTCGTTCTTCTAAGCGGCACTGGTGAACCGTGAATTCGGCGAAACTAGTCTGTAGCAGTGCAAGTAACAAATCAGAGAATAGATTAAGCCTCTACATAATATTTTCTTCATTAAAATCGACGTTTTGGTGAAGAAAGAAAACTGAAAAGTAAATAAATTACAAGACAAAATAAATTACAAATTTGTCCAGTCTAGTTATTTTCCACATACCACAAAAACTCAGTTAAATTATCAGATTCATAATTACTCTTCTTACTTCGAGAGCGAATCTACAATTACACAGGCCTGCGACTGTTTTATTGTCTTGAAATTTTACATGTTCTACGGTACTTTTTGTACTCTGAATCTAAAAATGAGGAAAGTTGAAGAAGAACTTGAATTGGCTTTGAAGATGTTATTGAAAAATTTTTAGGAAAGAACAAGGACCCAAATTACGAAAATATTGTTAATAACATGTTCGATAAATTCAAAGAATTGGGTAGTAATATGAGCCTCAACGTTCATTTCTTACACTCAAATATTGACTATTTCCCTGAAAATCTCGGTGCCGTCAGCGAAGAACAAGGGGAAAGGTCTCATCAAGAGAAATAGAGAGGAGGTATCAGGGAAAGTGGAACATCAGCATGATGGCTGATTACTGCTGGTCATTAAACGAGATGCCCAGACGGGAGTTTCTGAAACTATAACGTATGTATTAGCACTTCTTGTTCTGTTGGATTTATTGAGTTTGAAGTAATGCTTCCCATAAAAATAATGGTATTTTCTGGATGTAGAAGTATACACGACCAAGAAGGAGAGTTGAATAATGTAAATAGACAGTTGTACAAAGAGAAGTCAGGCCAAGGAGAAGTTTTCTCCTGGATACAGAACTTTAGCTGATGCTGTAAAGATCTATGATATTGGTCACTTTACAACCACTGACTCAGGGAGGTTTGCTCAAGTCTAGTGAGTGATCCATAACACTCAAGCAAACAATACTCCTGAAATCAATATTGGTGAAAGGGGAGCACAGACAACTCAGATTCATCAGAATGAAATTGTGCTTGGCAACTTTGAGACTTCGGAGATGATCTTCACTCAATTCCAATGCTATCACCAATCAGAGCACAGCAGCCTTAGCTTTGTTCAAGACCACTGGTAACTAGTGAACAGAAATTGGACGTGCTGCTTATGGATGATTTTTGCCAGTTATACTTGTCTCTCTAGTAAGTGAAACAATGGGCACCCACGCGTGAAGACTTTGTTCCATGAGGTGATGAACCTTTCAAGACTGAATGGTTCCCCATGACATCAATGACAATGAACAAAATTACGACACTTATGATATACAACATTGTTTATTGACAAAAAGGGAACATGGATAAACGTTTA